CGCCGCCGTCCGCGGCCTCCGTGATCTGTTGTCGTTGTCTTGCCCAACTTGCCATTCTTTTTTTACGGGTCCATTTTTTTTATCCGGCCGCGCGCATCTCCCCGACCATCTGTGCGCACATAGAAGAGGTAGAAGACCGTTGCGCTTGGCGCAGTGCAGCGAGAACCAAGAGATCAAGCGGGGCTCGACACTGCAAGGCTCAACGCTCACAGACCGAGAGGTGACAATTCGACACCCCCTAACGGTGCAAAGTCAAAAATTACCAGACTAAATGCAACATACTAGGAGATGCGAAGTGGGGAGTACGCGGGCAAGCCACACACGGCTTAGCGCCCCCACTTGGGGCTGCCCAAGCATTGGAGTTGCCATGGACCACTCAGGCACAGCGGGCTGCCACTGGGGTGAATCGCAGTCACGAGGGCAGGCTTAGGCAATAGGTTGAGCGCACCACCAACGAAGGAGCGGGAAGACCGAGCAGTGCCCAGCGCTACATAGCTCACAGGGATGCACACTGCAATTGGAGTTTTCAGCAGGAAAATGCAGGCAAGCCATCTCTACGCACGTGGGATGGACGATACTTCACTTACATTATCATGCTGACATGAGTAATACTAGTGGGGAGGTGGCTTACGCCGTTCCGCACATAGAAAAGATGTAAGACAGTGGCGGTTGGTGCCGTGTATCGAGAACCAAGAGACGGGGCTCGATACTACGCTCACGATCACAGACCGAGAGGTGACAATCTACATCCCCTGATAATGCCACACCAACGCGCAATCAGACTAAATGCAATATATGGCGATGCCACATGGGGACACAAGCAGCCACACCCCACCTGGCGCCTCATCCCAAGCGTGGGAAGTGGCAACAGAACACTCAGGCACAGCGGGCTGGCACTGGTGTGAACCCACCACAACCAATAGAGCAGAGAGACCGAGCCCAAATGGATGCACACTGCAGTGGTAGCGTAAAGTGAGAAGTGCAGGCAAGCAGGCAAGCTGAATGCAGAGCGCTGCCCATGAGATTGGCGGGCTACATGGGCAGCAGCTCACAACGCAGGACTAAGGGCAGGTCTGGGTGCCCGACCCTTCACCGTCGCTTGCGCCCTTCCGCACCACTGGGCAGGATTCGGGGACAGAAGGGAACGCACAACATTGGTGGCATTGAAGGTCGGGAGCTGGGTCACGCAAAAGAGACGCTGTCTGGGTGCGCCCGTTCGCACTGGCAAGCACCGCAGACATCCAACGCTGGGATGACCCTTGCAAAGTCAGCAAAGGCCTGCCTTCGGCGGAAGAGGGGAAGGCAAAAACTGGTGCGTACAGAAGCTGCCATTGGCCCTATCAGGCCACAGTACTCCTGGACATCATGTCAGATTGCTGGTTTTGGGGCCTCTGGAGGAGCTGGAGTCGAAACGGTTCAACCTCCGTGAAGCAGGGAGGTTCATACGGAGACCGAAGACAAAGCGCATTCCACGCCAGTTTGCACCGTACTTTGAGCAAGACCTCGCCGCCTTGCGCAGAGCGGCGCATTTGCGCAAAGGTAGGCCATGGCAGCAACTGGGATACGCACCTTGGACGTGCAAGAGCCAGTCACCAGGACCGACCTGCCGTACCATTCAATGACCTGCTCACCAGTGAGGGATTCAGCGCCAGCCTCAAGCTCGACCGTATTTGCCGCTAGGCGCAGAAGCTGGCACGCTGCCGCGGCGATGGTGAGCGGCCACCCAGAATTGCGGCTGAGCCAAGCGGTCCGCATCAGCTGTTGCAAACGAGGCGGGCTCGAACACATGGACAAAGGCCGGCTTGTCAGCCGTGCTCGAAAGAAGCGGAGCTTTTCTCCGCACCGAGCGGAGGCGCGTCGGCTGCCATGCGCCACAGGGCAAGAGTGCTTCCGCACTGCATGAGTCCGGCCTCCGTGGCCGGGCTGGTGTTGAACATAACGTTGCCCCAAGAGTAGCTGGTGGGAAGTTGGGCGAAGAGGCCGAGTTGGACCTCTTTAGCCTGTACCCCAAGATTCAGGCAAACTCATCCAAGGCGTCAAGGGTCGGTCCAGTTCGTCCTTGACTTCTGCATCGTCCTGCTGTCCCCGGCCCACCGGGCAATCACCAGGCCCTGCAACAAACTCAATGGCATACCCTTGCCGGCGGGCCTCTTCCGCAGTATCTGGCAGGCAGCTGTCCACCGCAGCGAGGTGCGGCTTAATCTCCTTATCAGAGACCATCGTGTCGGAGGCCGCGTCATTCTGGGCATGCCGAGCTGAATTTCGGTCAACGCCTAGCCACCTCATCCGCGATGCACTGCGATGTGCATTCGCCCTGGTTCGTGTGCGACCGGCGGCGGCTCCTCGATCAGGGTAGAGTCGCGCCTGGCCGACTTGCCGGCAGCGACGGAGGGGGGAATGGCCGCGTGGGGCTGGCCTGGACATCGGACATCTTCTGCCTTGACTTGGCTGGTTAGAAACCAGCGCTTCCTGTAGTTCAGCGGCAGAGCGCCGGTGGGCAACAGACGTGGGCTCGGTGTCAGAAGCGGAGATATCTACCAGCGTGTTGCTCCACATCGGCTTCCCCGAGTGACTTCATCCGTGACGTCTTTGGCGGTCGCCGCATCATACACTGCCGAGATGCAAGCCGGGTGAATGCCTATTTAAGGCCAGCAGGACTAGAGGAGCCCCACTAGGAGGAGAGTCTCCCGCCAGCAAGAGTGTGGCCTTAAACTGTTGGATGCTAAACTTCACCTTTACGGAGGCGGTGGTTACCCGCTGCCGATCCTTGCTGATCCTTCATGACATCCTTGAACATCTGCAGCCCCAAGATGGCGTCTCGGCTTGCGAGCTTGGAGCCAGCGCAGCGGCGGTGACAACGCCCAGAAGAGCGTTGGCCACCTTGGTGTCGACCTCCTCGCCGCCGCTGGTCTGGGGCGCTGGTCCACCACCGTCTTGAGGCCGTAGTTGCACGCCATGCATAGTTTCTATAGGTATCATGACCTGGACCATGAATTGAAGGATATGTTCCCTCAATTCATGTCCTGGTAGCCGAGCACCATGAAGTGAAGGAAAACACATGAAGTGAAGGATATTTTCCTTCGCTTCGTGTCCTGGTAGCCGAGCACGTGCTATGTAGCGGCAAGTGCGCCAGCCTGCCGAGCCCGCGCCACCCGAGGACGGCCTCGAGGCGAAATTTTCGGTGAACTGCCGAAATTTTCGGTGATTTGTCCCGAAATTTTCGAGCGTCGTGCGCAGGTACCGCGATTGACCGGCGCCACCGGTCAAATCATTTGTCACATTGAAAAAGGCCACCCACACGGGGTGACACGTACTTGCGCAAATTTTGTCCCAACGCCTTCTCTTCAGACCTCGTCCACTCCGACCAAGCCCGAAGAGGCAGGAAGCCGGCAGACCTTGAGAGTTTTCCGAAGCTTTTTCCAGGGCCGACTTCGCGCAACGGGCTCCCAAGAAAAACATGTTTGAAGGACCTGTCACCGGCAACATCCCGGAGGTCCTGGACAACGGAGATGTAACTGACGGCACGCACGTCACCGCAGGGCAGCTGGCCTCGCTCTGACGCCCGCAGAGCTGGCCTCAAGTAAAGGTGCATGCCATGGTTCTCTTACTGTGCCACTTTTGCCCTTGAGTGATTTTTTCTGTCCTCATGAGGGCGGACTTTTGATTTATTCCTTATGAGCGCAACAATCTGCTTGGTTGCGTGTTTTCTTAGCCGCTAAACCCCCACACTCTCGGGCTCCGCTAGATGTCCTACATGTGCTATATGTTGTTGAGACGTTAAATACACTATATGCGCTTATTTGGTTGCTATGTGTATAGTATACAGCTCTGCGGCTTGCCTTGCAAGAGCCAGAAAGCACGTGTAGTACGTATAGCAAGGAGCCGGAGCTGTGAGGGTCTGCGGCTTGCCTTGTGAGACCCATATAGCACACATAGGACGTATAGCAAGCGCCGGGGGAGAGTGGAGGTTCTGCGGCTTGCCTGGAGACCCAGAAAACACATATAGGACGTATAAGCAAGGATCCGGGGGAGGGTTCGGCGGCTTGGCGCTGCGGCCCTGCCCGGCATAGAAGCCTCCACCCGGCCGCACCACCTGCCCGGCATCGGAGCCACGCCAGCCCGCCGAGTCATACGAATCGTGTTTTAATGTCCATAAGGTGGCATTAAATCCTACCGCTTTCCAGGCTACGGTTCGCCCAACGTGGAGGCTTCGATACCAAGCGCGCCACATTCCTGCCCGGCATCGGAGGCACGCCAGCCCGCGCCACCCGAGGTTGGATTCTTCCCAGGAAAAAAAATCCAGTCCTCCCCTGGGGCGCCTGTGCCCAAGGCAGCACCCAAGACAGCCAAGGCAGCACCCAGGCAGCGCCCAAGGCAGCAAGCCAGCTGCCATGCCCAAGGCTGCACCCAAGGCAACGCCAAGCCCAAGGGCAGCGCCCAAGTTTGGCCAAGGCGATGGAGCCGTTCATGGCCGCCGTGGTGCTAAGCTTCAGGTCCATGCAGGCCGCTGCCGTGGCCAGAGGGGCGATCGCCGGCGCCAGCGAGCAGGAGTATGCAGGCAAGCAAAGTGAAGACCTCTGCGGATGAGGCTTCACTTATTTATCGTGCTGACACGATTTGTGATAGTAGGGAAATTGCCTATGCCCCACTCGGCCGCACATAAAAGAGGTACAAGACCGTTGCGCAACACCATTTCTGTGCTGGGCAGGGGTTTGCTCCACATTGAAACACCACGGTCATTTCCCAAGCGCCGCGTGAAATCCCTTTTGAGCCACTTGCCCATTGCCCATTGCAGGAGTTAGGGTCTCAAACCAGACGGGGCTGTTCACGCATGTGAGTTGACACAAGGGTTGGTCAAGTTGTTGCGTGGTTCTTGTCACACTTGTTTTTGGCTGTGGCTTCTTAAGTTGGCCTGACTAACTGCTAGTTCGTTGCGCAGAGTCGCGCAGCGCGTGTTGGGTTGGGTTTGAGAGTTTCATGGGGTTGGTGCAACGCGAGCCATGCTGGCAAACCCAGACGTGTTGAAGGCAGAGATGGAAGACGTGGGGCGGCGCTTGCGGGCGCTGCGTAAGCGGGCTGCAAGGCGACAGAGTAGGCCCCGTCAGAGGAGTCGCGGCTGGCGATGCGCTCCAGCCAGCTCCACGTGCATGGTGGTGTTAGTGTACAGCGGGGGTGTTGCAGAGGTGGCGGCGGAGTTTGCGCAGGGCCGAGGGTGGTGGAAGGGCCGGGGAGCGCTCGCTGGGTCTGCTGACGAGTTGCGGGAAATAGCAGTGGAGGTTGAGCAAGCGCACGACACGTTGCCCTTGGTGCAGATTGCGGCGCTCCATGGCGACCCTGTCAAGGCTGGCTTGGTGTCTGAGCCCCAAATGCTGGCTATTATCCGCTGGTTGGTGGAGCGCTCTCTCTACACCTGAACTGAAGAGCAGAACACAGTGCACGGTGTTGCGCCATCTCGCGCCCAACTGGTCGAGCGCGCCTTGTCTGAATACCTCCTCTGGCCCCGACGCATGGCGACAGAAGGTTCACGCCCGCATAGGTGCCAGTCAACGCAGCCAACGGAGATGGTTGGCGAAGTTCAGGTTGCGATGGGGGCTGCGCTTGGGAAAGCTGAAGCCGCGCAACCGCATATCTGTGGCCGAGAAGCAGTCCAAGGAGGGTCTGGGGCAACCCCGTTTTTGGTAGTGTCTAGGACGGCTTGAATTGGGAGTGTGTTTGGGCAAGAGAAGCTTTGAAAGGAAAGCGATTTGCAACCCTGTTTTTGGCCGCGCCCAGCGGTCCCGTTTTTGGTCGCGCTGTCCTTGCCAGGCCATGGCCTATTTCCAGTGGGTCAACGCAGCTTCGGCGGCCGCTCCTGCCAACCGCCCGCCATTACTCATCAACATGGACGAGACCGCCCTGGTGCGGCACCCCAGAGGTCTGGCGGGCACTGTCCTGAAGGTTCCTGCGGGCAAGCCCATCTTGGGCGACCCCTCGTCTCTGGGCGAGAGACGCAGCCACATCACGTATTTGGCCAGCATCACTCACGACGCAGAAGTGCAACTCCGCCTCCCGCAAGTTCTCATCGGCAATGAGCGTCAATTTTCTGCGGCCATGATGAGAAGCTTGCCGACATTGCCGGCGAATGTTCATGTTTGGAGATGCAAGTCTGCATGGAACAGTCATGCGTTGATGAGAAGGTTTTTGTCACTGCTGGCTTCATCTTTGGGTAGCGCTCTGAAGGACCGATACGTCATCTTGCTTCTAGATGTTGCTCCCTGCCATATACACCCAACAATTTTGTCGCACGCCAAACGTTGCGGTCTCCGACTTTGCTACATTCCAGCGCTGATGACGGCAGAGCTGCAGCCGTGTGACACACACCTCTTCTGGCGGTTCAAATCAGCCTTGCAGGACGCGTGGCGCCGGGGTAAAGCCGCGTCTGAAGCTGGTTCCATCAGCACGGTGCAGTGGCTCGAGATTCTGGTCGCTAGCATACAAGCGGTGTTGCCCGCCACCGACTGGGAAGAAGCTTTTGCAGCGGTGGGAGCAGTGGCAGAGCAGTCTCGCTTGGGCCGAAGACTTTGTGATGCGCTGGAGTGGCAACAAGTTCCGACAGTGCCGGACGGCCTCCCCTCTGTTGTGATGCGCTGGAGTGGCAACAAGTTCCGACAGTGCCGGACGGCCTACCCTCTGTTGAAGCCGCGAGAATGATCTTCCCGAAGAACATGAAGGGGAACCTTGAGGCGTATGTCGGCAGGGAAAGCTGCTTGCCAAGTTCGCTTTTCAGCTGGCGCAGAAGAAGCCCTAAACGACGGAGACGCCCCACTGCCTGCCACTTCGTGGGCAGAATGAGCCGCCTCTACCATTGGAATTAGAAAAGCTTGCCTTTCTGCCCTTGCGCGAACCCCAGAGGACCACCTTTGGGGGCCCAAAACCGCAAGTAGTTTCCGCACCCGAAACTGGCTTTGCCTCGCAGCGCCTCTGGCGTGAGCGTTTGTTTCTGTCACCAAGGCCCTCCTGCGCCAGGAGATGGAGACTTTGAAGCAGCGTCGTGCTGCTTTAAAGCGCCAGTCTAAGGATGCTGCCAAAGACCAAAAGCTCCTCGCTGCCAAGCGCCAGCGCTTGCTCAAGGCCCGTTGATTGAAGGTTTTGCGGCGTGGGGCGAGTTGGCCCACAGGCTGCCAAGGGGCTTTCCGCGGCAGACCTCGAGCTCTTGCTCCAGCGCGCCCGAGCAGGCGGCCAGGATCAGAACGTAAGGTTGCGCGATGCAAGCCTTCCAGTTTACGCTTTCTGGCTTGGAAAGAGGTGCTGGTGGTGCTCAGGGAGCCGGGGTTGTGCGGTGCGACAAATACGTTTTCAGGCGATGCTGGTGTGGGAAGGCGTGTTGGTGGTGCTGATGGCGCTGGCGGCCTGGGCCTGAGCAGCTCTTGACGGGCGACGCGACACGTTTGCGCTTTCAGGTGACGCTGGTTGAAGGGGTGCTGGTGGTGCCGATGGAGCTGGTGGCCTGGGTGGCCTGGGCCTGAGCAGCACTTGATGGGCGCAGCGCTGAAGCAAAGCGACGTTTGCGTGCCAGGAAGTCTTGCGTGGCCAAGGCGCGGCAGCAGCCAACGCAGCAGCCGGAGCTGAGTGAGGAGCCATGTAACTTGCCACTAGCTTGCCCTAAGAGTGAGGCCCCGCCCAAAAAAGCTACCGCCGACAGGTCTGTGGCGTTTCATGTTTGTATGAGTAGCCAAAGCCTCACACATGTCACACTGCGTGTGAGAGGTCGCAGCATGAGCCATTTCTGTTGCGGGCGCGCAGCGATTGACTGCGCAACAGCCGGTTGTCCTTTCACGAAGCTGTGCCAGGCCAAAGTTCTTTGCGCGCTTGTTCAACGTGTGGGGCCTCTTTGGAAAACCACGCGTCTGTGGGTGGTTTGCGTGGAATAGCGTCAGGGTTTCTTATCGCATGGAGTCCATGGGGTGCTGTTGTAAAGCCTCGGGGCTCCGGCTAGGGTTTCATAGAAGAGTTCTGGGAACAGCGGCAGATCGTGTTTTGACTTATATAGAGACGTAGGCAAGGTGCAGCCTTGTGAAACGCACCTGCTACTTTGGTTCCCCCTTGCCACCGTTTTGGGGAACCAGCCAACACTCAGATGCATGTTCGCTTTTGCCTGGAGAGCAGTCTCGCCCCGGCTTGCGCAATGCCGCGCTAGTTGATTTTTGCGTTTGCGCGTGAGGGCAGGGTAGAAGACCGGCAAGAAAGCCTAACGCAAAGTGTCGGGTCTGCCCGCTGTAACTATAGCTTTCACTCACAGCCGATTTGAAAGACGAGTGGCAGGGAGGGAGGCGAGTTCTTGGCTGAGACGGTTTCTGTGCTACCTTTGTGAAGGTCCGAGCGGAGTTTTGCGGCCCGGCCGTGCCTGAGCTGGGTTTGGCCCTGTCCAGAGCACATGGTCTTTGAAGCTCTTTGAGGCGTGGGAGAGTTCGACAGATTGGGCCCCAGTCCTCGCACTTAAAAAGCTGCGAAGCCTCAGCCCTTTGTCTGAGGTGCGTCGCCCACACTGCTTGGCATGAGCGTCGAGGCCGGGGACGTTGCCCAACCCCTTCACCCCCGTAGACTCTTAGCGCTCTTAGCGGGGTTTCAGCTGCCGTTACTCCACGGAGTGCGGAGTGGTTCTGTTTCGCAGTAGAAAACATTGTTTTCTTAGAACGGGAAAAAACTACTCCGCGCATTTTTCAATGGTTTTTGCGTGCGTTTCAGCGCAGTCTACTCCGCGCAGCCCCTACCCCGCAACTACTCCGTGCTCCTTCTAAGGGGGGAAACCGATTCTCCAATTAAAAAAACTACTCCGCAAGTTCTTCATCGCCAGTTCTCGGCTCAAAATGGCAGCATCTTTGATCTTGTTGGCCAAACGCGCCCTTGTTTCTTTGTTGCTGTCACTAGCGCAGCAGTATGGTGTCCGAGTGACTGTAACGCGGGACAGCTCTGACAGTTTGGTGGAAGCTGCCTTTCGTTCAGTGGTGAAGAAAGTGCACCCTGACAAGGGGGGAGCTGTTGCTGATGCCCAGCGCTTGCAGCAAGCCCGGAAGGAGTGGCAGGATGCCAAGTCCAAAGCCAGTGCGGGAGGCGGTCGGCCGGCGAAGGCGGCCGTTGTGGCAACCGTTGCCAAGGTGGGGCAGCAGCGAACGCTCTACAGGATTCGGTCTACTGCTGTGCTGCTGACTTACCATGGCATCGCGGAGGACGCTTGGCAGGCGTTCCGTGCATTTGTGTCTTCGCACTTGACAGAATGGGGGGTCGCCAAGTGGTGTGCCTCCATGGAAAGGTGTGCTTCAGGCTTGCCGCACGTCCATTTCATGGTGCAATTCTTTGCGGCGTCTGACAGACGGGTGGTTGACGTGTTTTCCTACAACGGTGCAAGACCAAACGCAAGCTCCACTGATGTGTGCGGGGAAGGGCTTTCCGGCAAGCAGCTTCAGCGCTGCGTGGACCGTGGCATGTTTTACGTCTTTGCAGACAAATTTGGCACGGTCTTTGGATGCGACGGCTTGCCGTGCACGCAAGGCAACTATTTGCCATGCTGGGCGCGTTGTGACAAGACTTACCAAGTCCTCGGCAAGTGGCCAGAAACCTGGTGGAAACAACGCAAGGTTACTTCGGCCACATATGAGAAGCTGGTAATCCTCACCCGGGACGGCGTGGTCTCCAGGAAGCGAAACCTTGAAGCTTGCCGGGAACACGAAGAGGCAGCTGCTTCGCAGCTAGCGGTGGCAGAGCAGGTTGCAAGGATTCGTTCCAACCCCAGCCTGTACCAACCCTTTGCCAGAGTGCCAGAGGCTGAGGAGTGGCTCAAACTTTTCGAGGTTGATGCTCTACGCTACCCCATCTTGGTTGTCCTCGGACCTTCCCGTGCAGGGAAAACTGAATGGGCAAAGAGCTTGTTCAAGCACCCGTTGGAGCTCAAGATTGGGACTTTGGAGTTCTCCATGCGTCAGTTTCAGCGAGGGGTGCACGACGGCCTGGTCTTGGATGATGTGAGGGACTTGGTGTTCCTTGTCAACCACCAGGAAAAGCTCCAAGGCAAGTACGACTGCCTCGTCGAGTTTGGCTCTACAGCCGGCGGAACTTGTGCATACCACCGTGATTTGTTTGGCGTGCCCGTTGTTGCCACCGTGAATTACTCGACTAAGCACTTGGAGTACTTGGAGAGCCATGACTGGCTGGCCAACCCTGGGACCAGGGTTGTGGTGACGCTGGGAGGTAGCAATTCGTAAGTGGCCACTTAGTTTTGGATTTTGTTAACGCCAGACTTCTACACACGCTCTGGTTGCAAAAGACCCAAACCCGTGGGTTTGACTTGGAGAGGAGGGTGCGAAGCGCAGTAGCTTTTGTGGGTGTTATGATTGCGCCTTCTGTTTCGCTTTGCAGGCCCGGCGCTGACTGTCGGGCACTCAGCACGGTAGTTGAGTGGGTTGACAACAGTGGCTGCTCTAGTTTGCTACTGTCAGGCTTGGTGTTTTGACTGCGGTTGCCAGAAGCTCGTAGGGCGGGCTGGGTCGCCCAAGTTCGGTTGACGCCGCCGGTGCCTATGTTGCAGGTTTGCGACACACGCTTTCAGTCCTGGAGCTTGGAGTTGCAAGCAATGATAGCTGACGGATTAGGGCAAAGCAGCCAGGCAGTCGCTCATGCCGCAACAATGTTTTTTCACCAGGTCTTTGAGTTTTGTTTGAACGGAACCGCTTCGTTTCGGCTCCAGCAAAGTCACTGCTTCTGTCTTGCAAGGCGTCTATTGCTTCTCGAGGTTAGCGTCGGACGTGTGGCCATGGCTCCCAAACGGAACCCGCAGCCCGATGTGCAGGCCTCAAGTGCAATTTTCTTGCTTGGACGCTGCAAACCTTGCAACGTTGCGCCCATTTTGACCCACAGCAGTTGTGTGCTAAAAGGCGCCTTGTTGCCTTAGGGTTTAGGGTGGCTGGTTTTCAAGCTGGCGCGGGGCACCAGGCTGACAAAGAGAGTTTAAGCAGGGCCCGGCCAGGCAAATCGCCGTGGTTCCAAAAAGGAGCGGTTTCGCACCAATGTTTTGCAAACGGGCAAGCCAGCGCTAAATTCTGTGCTCCTTGTTCAGGTTTGCTAGCAGCGTCGTGCAAGATTTTTCCTGAAGTCAAGTTTGTGTCCCAGATGGCGCTTCAGTCTTGGATTCTAGCTGAACGGTTTGCGGCAGGGGCAGGGAAGAGTTCGCCTGACCTGCTTGGTTTGCGTTTGCGCCACGGTTGTTTTCAGGGTTGGATATGTGTCTTGAAAGTAGGCCCTGTAGGTTGGTCCTCTGCAGTTGCGCAACACCATTTCTGTGCTGGGCAGGGGTTTGCTCCACATTGAAACACCACGGTCATTTCCCAAGCGCCGCGTGAAATCCCTTTTGAGCCACTTGCCCATTGCCCATTGCAGGAGTTAGGGTCTCAAACCAGACGGGGCTGTTCACGCATGTGAGTTGACACAAGGGTTGGTCAAGTTGTTGCGTGGTTCTTGTCACACTTGTTTTTGGCTGTGGCTTCTTAAGTTGGCCTGACTAACTGCTAGTTCGTTGCGCAGAGTCGCGCAGCGCGTGTTGGGTTGGGTTTGAGAGTTTCATGGGGTTGGTGCAACGCGAGCCATGCTGGCAAACCCAGACGTGTTGAAGGCAGAGATGGAAGACGTGGGGCGGCGCTTGCGGGCGCTGCGTAAGCGGGCTGCAAGGCGACAGAGTAGGCCCCGTCAGGGAGTCGCGGCTGGCGATGCGCTCCAGCCAGCTCCACGTGCATGGTGGTGTTAGTGTACAGCGGGGGTGTTGCAGAGGTGGCGGCGGAGTTTGCGCAGGGCCGAGGGTGGTGGAAGGGCCGGGGAGCGCTCGCTGGGTCTGCTGACGTGTTGCGGGAAATAGCAGTGGAGGTTGAGCAAGCGCACGACACGTTGCCCTTGGTGCAGATTGCGGCGCTCCATGGCGACCCTGTCAAGGCTGGCTTGGTGTCTGAGCCCCAAATGCTGGCTATTATCCGCTGGTTGGTGGAGCGCTCTCTCTACACCTGGACTGAAGAGCAGAACACAGTGCACGGTGTTGCGCCATCTCGCGCCCAACTGGTCGAGCGCGCCTTGTCTGCAATACCTCCTCTGGCCCCAGACGCATGGCGACAGAAGGTTCACGCCCGCATAGGTGCCAGTCAACGCAGCCAACGGAGATGGTTGGCGAAGTTCAGGTTGCGATGGGGGCTGCGCTTGGGAAAGCTGAAGCCGCGCAACCGCATATCTGTGGCCGAGAAGCAGTCCAAGGAGGGTCTGGGGCAACCCCGTTTTTGGTAGTGTCTAGGACGGCTTGAATTGGGAGTGTGTTTGGGCAAGAGAAGCTTTGAAAGGAAAGCGATTTGCAACCCTGTTTTTGGCCGCGCCCAGCGGTCCCGTTTTTGGTCGCGCTGTCCTTGCCAGGCCATGGCCTATTTCCAGTGGGTCAACGCAGCTTCGGCGGCCGCTCCTGCCAACCGCCCGCCATTACTCATCAACATGGACGAGACCGCCCTGGTGCGGCACCCCAGTGGTCTGGCGGGCACTGTCCTGAAGGTTCCTGCGGGCAAGCCCATCTTGGGCGACCCCTCGTCTCTGGGCGAGAGACGCAGCCACATCACGTATTTGGCCAGCATCACTCACGACGCAGAAGTGCAACTCCGCCTCCCGCAAGTTCTCATCGGCAATGAGCGTCAATTTTCTGCGGCCATGATGAGAAGCTTGCCGACATTGCCGGCGAATGTTCATGTTTGGAGATGCAAGTCTGCATGGAACAGTCATGCGTTGATGAGAAGGTTTTTGTCACTGCTGGCTTCATCTTTGGGTAGCGCTCTGAAGGACCGATACGTCATCTTGCTTCTAGATGTTGCTCCCTGCCATATACACCCAACAATTTTGTCGCACGCCAAACGTTGCGGTCTCCGACTTTGCTACATTCCAGCGCTGATGACGGCAGAGCTGCAGCCGTGTGACACACACCTCTTCTGGCGGTTCAAATCAGCCTTGCAGGACGCGTGGCGCCGGGGTAAAGCCGCGTCTGAAGCTGGTTCCATCAGCACGGTGCAGTGGCTCGAGATTCTGGTCGCTGGCATACAAGCGGTGTTGCCCGCCACCGACTGGGAAGAAGCTTTTGCAGCGGTGGGAGCAGTGGCAGAGCAGTCTCGCTTGGGCCGAAGACTTTGTGATGCGCTGGAGTGGCAACAAGTTCCGACAGTGCCGGACGGCCTACCCTCTGTTGAAGCCGCGAGAATGATCTTCCCGAAGAACATGAAGGTGAACCTTGAGGCGTATGTCGGCAGGGAAAGCTGCTTGCCAAGTTCGCTTTTCAGCTGGCGCAGAAGAAGCCCTGAAACGCGGAGACGCCCCCTGCCTGCCACCTTCGTGGGCACGATGAGCCGCCCTCTGACCATTGACTAGAAAAGCTTGCTTTCTGCCCTTGCGCGAACCCCAGAGGACCACCTTTGGGGGCCCAAAACCGCAAGTAGTTTCCACACCCGAAACTGGCTTTGCCTCGCAGCGCCTCTGGCGTGAGCGTTTGTTTCTGTCACCAAGGCCCTCCTGCACCAGGAGATGGAGACTTTGAAGCAGCGTCGTGCTGCTTTGAAGCGCCAGTCTAAGGAGGCTGCCAAAGACCAAAAGCTCCTCGCTGCCAAGCGCCAGCGCTTGCTCAAGGCCCGTTGATTGAAGGTTTTGCGGCGTGGGGCGAGTTGGCCCACAGGCTGCCAAGGGGCTTTCCGCGGCAGACCTCGAGCTCTTGCTCCAGCGCGCCCAAGCAGGCGGCCAGGATCAGAACGTAAGGTTGTCCAGTTTACGCTTTCTGGCTTGGTGCTGGTGGTGCTCAGGGAGCGGTTGTGCGGTGCAACAAATACGTTTTCAGGCGATGCTGGTGTGGGAAGGCGTGTTGGTGGTGCTGATGGCGCTGGCGGCCTGGGCCTGAGCAGCTCTTGACGGGCAACGCGACACGTTTGCGCTTTCAGGTGACGCTGGTTTGGGAAGGGGTGCTGGTGGTGCCGATGGAGCTGGTGGCCTGGGTGGCCTGGGCCTGAGCGGCACTTGATGGGCGCAGCGCTGAAGCAAAGCGACGTTTGCGTGTCAGGAAGTCTTGCGTGGCCAAGGCGCGGCAGCAGCCAACGCAGCAGCCGGAGCTGAGTGAGGAGCCATGTAACTTGCCACTAGCTTGCCCTAAGAGTGAGGCCCCGCCCAAAAAGCTACCGCCGACAGGTCTGTGGCGTTTCATCTTTGTATGAGTAGCCAAAGCCTCACACATGTCACACTGCGTGTGAGAGGTTGCAGCATGAGCCATTTCTGTTGCGGGCGCGCAGCGTTTGACTGCGCAACAGCCGGTTGTCCTTTCACGAAGCTGTGCCAGGCCAAGTCTGCGCGCGTCAACGTGTGGGGCCCTTTGGAACCACGCGCGTGGGTGTTAGCGTGAAAGCTGCACGGGTTTTCTTATCGCATGGAGCCATGGGGGCGTCTGAAAGCCTCGGGGCTCCGGCTAGGGTTCTAGAAGAGTTCTGGGAACAGCGGCAGATCGTGTTTGACTTCTTAGAGACGTAGGCAAGACGTGCAGCCTTGAAACGCACCTGCTACTTTGGTTCCCCCTTGCCACCGTTTTGGGGAACCAGCCAACACTCAGATGCATGTTCGCTTTTGCCAGGAGAGCAGTCTCGCCCCGGCTTGCGCAATGCCGCGCTAGTTGATTTTTGCGTTTGCGCGTGAGGGCAGGGTAGAAGACCGGCAAGAAAGCCTAACGCAAAGTGTCGGGTCTGCCCGCTGTAACTATAGCTTTCACTCCGCCGATTGGAAAGACGAGTGGCAGGGAGGGAGGCGAGTTCTTGGCTGAGACAGGGTTCTTGCACCTTTGTGCAGGTCGAGCGGAGTTGCGGCGCCGTGCCTGAGGACACGGTTTTGTCGCACAGAGCACATGGTCTTGAGCTTTGAGGCGTGGGAGAGTTCGACAGATTGGGCCCCAGTCCTCGCACTTAAAAAGCTGCGAAGCCTCAGCCCTGTGTCTGAGGTGCGTCGTCCACACTGCTTGGCATGAGCGTCGAGGCCGGGGACGTTGCCCAACCCCTTCACCCCCGTAGACTCTTAGCGCTCTTAGCGGGGTTTCAGCTGCCGTTACTCCACGGAGTGCGGAGTGGTTCTGTTTCGCAGTAGAAATCATTGTTTTCTTAGAACGGGAAAAAACTACTCCGCGCATTTTTCAATGGTTTTTGCGTGCGTTTCAGCGCAGTCTACTCCGCGCAGCCCCTACCCCGCAACTACTCCGTGCTCCTTCTAAGGGGGGAAACCGATTCTCCAATTAAAAAAACTACTCCGCAAGTTCTTCATCGCCAGTTCTCGGCTCAAAATGGCAGCATCTTTGATCTTGTTGGCCAAACGCGCCCTTGTTTCTTTGTTGCTGTCACTAGCGCAGCAGTATGGTGTCCGAGTGACTGTAACGCGGGACAGCTCTGACAGTTTGGTGGAAGCTGCTTTTCGTTCAGTGGTGAAGAAAGTGCACCCTGACAAGGGGGGAGCTGTTGCTGATGCCCAGCGCTTGCAGCAAGCCCGGAAGGAGTGGCAGGATGCCAAGTCCAAAGCCAGTGCGGGAGGCGGGCGGCCGGCGAAGGCGGCCGTTGTGGCAACCGTTGCCAAGGAGGGGCAGCAGCGAACGCTCTACAGGATTCGGTCTACTGCTGTGCTGCTGACTTACCATGGCATCGCGGAGGGCGCTTGGCAGGCGTTCCTTGCATTTGTGTCTTCGCACTTGACAGAATGGGGGGTCGCCAAGTGGTGTGCCTCCATGGAAAGGTGTGCTTCAGGCTTGCCGCACGTCCATTTCATGGTGCAATTCTGTGCGGCGTCTGACAGACGGGTGGTTGACGTGTTTTCCTTCAACGGTGCAAGACCAAACGCAAGCTCCACTGATGTGTGCGGGGAAGGGCTTTCCGGCAAGCAGCTTCAGCGCTGCGTGGACCGTGGCATGTTTTACGTCTTTGCAGACAAAATTGGCACGGTCTTTGGATGCGACGGCTTGCCGTGCACGCAAGGCAACTATTTGCCATGCTGGGCGCGTTGTGACAAGACTTACCAAGTCCTCGGCAAGTGGCCAGAAACCTTGTGGAAACAACGCAAGGTTACTTCGGCCACATATGAGAAGCTGGTAATCCTCACCCGGGACGGCGTGGTCTCCAGGAAGCGAAACCTTGAAGCTTGCCGGGAACACGAAGAGGCAGCTGCTTCGCAGCTAGCGGTGGCAGAGCGGGTTGCAAGGATTCGTTCCAACCCCAGCCTGTGCCAACCCTTTGCCAGAGTGCCAGAGGCTGAGGAGTGGCTCAAACTTTTCGAGGTTGATGCTCTACGCTACCCCATCTTGGTTGTCCTCGGACCTTCCCGTGCAGGGAAAACTGAATGGGCAAAGAGCTTGTTCAAGCACCCGTTGGAGCTCAAGATTGGGACTTTGGAGTTCTTCCCCGACTCCATGCGTCAGTTTCAGCGAGGGGTGCACGACGGCCTGGTCTTGGATGATGTGAGGGACTTGGTGTTCCTTGTCAACCACCAGGAAAAGCTCCAAGGCAAGTACGACTGCCTCGTCGTGTTTGGCTCTACAGCCGGCGGAACTTGTGCATACCACCGTGATTTGTTTGGCGTGCCCGTTGTTGCCACCGTGAATTACTCGACTAAGCACTTGGAGTACTTGGAGAGCCATGACTGGCTGGCCAACCCTGGGAACAGGGTTGTGGTGACGCTGGGAGGTAGCAATTCGTAAGTGGCCACTTAGTTTTGGTTTTTGTTAACGCCAGACTTCTACACACGCTCTGGTTGCAAAAGACCCAAACCCGTGGGTTTGACTTGGAGAGGAGTGTGCGAAGCGCAGTAGCTTTGGTGGGTGTTATGATTGCGCCTTCTGTTTCGCTTTGCAGGCCCGGCGCTGACTGTCGGGCACTCAGCACGGTAGTTGAGTGGGTTGACAACAGTGGCTGCTCAAGTTTGCTACTGTCAGGCTTGGTGTTTTGACTGCGGTTGCCAGAAGCTCGTAGGGCGGGCTGGGTCGCCCAAGTTCGGTTGACGCCGCCGGTGCCTATGTTGCAGGTTTGCGACACACGCTTTCAGGCCTGGAGCTTGGAGTTGCAAGCAATGATAGCTGACGGATTAGGGCAAAGCAGCCAGGCAGTCGCTCATGCCGCAACAATGTTTTTTCACCAGGTCTTTGAGTTTTGTTTGAACGGAACCGCTTCTTTTCGGCTCCAGCAAAGTCACTGCTTCTGTCTTGCAAGGCGTCTATTGCTTCTCGAGGTTAGCGTCGGACGTGTGGCCATGGCTCCCAAACGGAACCCGCAGCCCGATGTGCAGGCCTCAAGTGCAATTTTCTTGCTTGGACGCTGCAAACCTTGCAACGTTGCGCCCATTTTGACCCACAGCAGTTTTGTGCTAAAAGGCGCCTTGTTGCCTTAGGGTTTAGGGTGGCTGGTTTTCAAGCTGGCGCGGGGCACCAGGCTGACAAAGAGAGTTTAAGCAGGGCCCGGCCAGGCAAATCACCGTGGTTCCAAAAAGGAGCGGTTTCGCACCAATGTTTTGCAAACGGGCAAGCCAGCGCTAAATTCTGTGCTCCTTGTTCAGGTTTGCTAGCAGCGTCGTGCAAGATTTTTCCTGAAGTCAAGTTTGTGTCCCAGATGGCGCTTCAGTCTTGGATTCTAGCTGAACGGTTTGCGGCAGGGGCAGGGAAGAGTTCGCCTGACCTGCTTGGTTTGCGTTTGCGCCACGGTTGTTTTCAGGGTTGGATATGTGTCTTGAAAGTAGGCCCTGTAGGTTGGTCCTCTGCAGTAGTAGGGAAATTGCCTATGCCCCACTCGGCCGCACATAAAAGAGGTACAAGACCGTTGCACTTGGCTAGACGAGATCAAGCGGGGCTCCATACTGCAAGGCTCATAGACCAAGCGAAGTGGGGAGCACGCGGGCAAGCCACACTTGGGGCTGCAGCCCAAGCATTGAAATTGCCATGGAAGAGCGGGAAGACCGAAAGGGATGCACACTGCAATTGAAGTCTTCAGCAGGAAAATGCAGGCAAGCAAAGTGAAGACATCGTGGGCATGGACGATACTTGACTTACATTATCATGCTGACATGAGTACACTAGTGGGCAGGGGCTTATGCCGTTCCCGTTTGCCCTCTCGGCCGCACATAGAAAAGATGTAAGACAGTGGCGGTTGGTGCCGTGTGTCGAGAACCAAGACGGGGCTCGATACTACAAGGCTCAACGATCACAGACCGAGAGGTGGCACCCACTGGTGCCTCATTCCAAGCATGGGAAGTGGCAACGGAACTTGGCACAGCGGGGCTGCACTGGTGTAAACCGTACAGAGGGTAGGCGTAGGGCATACGGGGGAGTTCCCCCCACCAATAGCCGCACAGCTGCGGAGCCCAAATGGATGCACACTTAGTGTAATAGCGTAAAGTGAGAAGTGCAGGCAAACACGGGCAGGCAGTCTTTTCCTTCGCGGTTTACTCCAGCGCCAGCCCTGCTGTGTTGCACGTCCAATGCTTGTGCTTAAACGCCAAGTGGGGCGAGACCCTTCATTTGGCATCAACTCTGTTACATTCGATAAGGAAATTTAGTCTGCGTTGAGTTGCTGCCACCATCGGTTGTCGACTTGTCAACTTTGGTTGGGCCTGTGGTCGATGAGTCTGTAGTATCAAGCCCGCTTAACCTCTTGGCTCTTACACACTGTGTCTTCGCAAAGTCCTTCTTCCTCCTGAATGTGCGGCCGAGATGGCCAAGCTGGGTGCCTTGCTCGATTG